TCATACCCACAACACCTGCTTCTGCCTTTTTTTCTTGCTTCTGTCTCTTTCTGACTCCCTGGGCCTGTCTCTATCTCCCTTTCCAGGTCTTTCTCTGATTCTGCCTTCCCCTTCCCCAGCCTCCCACCTACTATAGAGCGCTCTGGTTCCAAGAAAAGAAGCTTTTGCTGTGAGTGCATCAGATGCTAGGACCTCCCCTTCCCACTCCCTCCATCTCTTCCATGCCCCTTTCCTCCTCTATCTGAGACCTGGACTCAGCAGCCACCCCCCACCACCACCACCACCCCCAGACAAGCCAGGCGGGAGGAAGAACAGGGCTCCGGCTGGACTGGATCGGCTTGGATATGGGGCTGCCTTTCCCTTTGGAGGGGAGGCCAGAGCTCAGATGGCTCATGAATTATTGAACTCCTGTGCCGGCGGCTCCACTTGGCAGAGTGCTGGGACTCTCGCCACCAGTCTAGAAGAGTGGGACAAACTCAAGGTCATTCAGGCTGAGCTGGGCGAGGCTCTAAGCTCCCAGCCTCGTTCCTAACTCCTCACCTGAGCCCCCAGGGCTAAACCTGGCAACTCTCCCCACCCTTACTTACTTTATAGGGAACCCAGCACAGTCCTAGGATTACCCTGGTGGCTCAGACCTTAAAGAGTCTGCCTGCAATGTGGTTCGATCCCTGGGTTGGTAAGATACCCTGGAAAAGGGAACAGAAACCCACTCCAGTATTCTTGCCTGGGAAATCCTATGGATCGTGGAGCCTGGTTGGGCTACAAGTCCATGGGGTCACCAAGAGTCGGACACGAATTAGCAATTAAACAACAACAACCCAGCTCTAGTCAGAAGTACCCCATGCTCTCCCCTGGCCCTGACCTCCGACCTCCACACAATGCAGTCAATTCAGCTCAATTGTGTCCGACTCTTTGTGACCCCATGAACTACAGCACTCCAGGCTTCCCTGTCCATCACCAACTCCCGGAGCTTGTTCAAACTCACGTCCATTGAGTTGGTGATGCCATCCAACCATCTCATCCTCTGTTGTCCCCACAATTCCCCTCCATCTTTCACCCCTTAGACAGGGGGCCCCTGAGAGTGGGACTCCACAGGAAGGGCTTGAGGGCCAGATGGCTCAGACTAGGGGCTCCACGACTGGATCTGGCCGAACCCCGTCCATGTTACCACCTCCCTTAATGTCTCCTCACTGGGCTCTGCCTTCCTTAGGGGAGGAGATACAGGATCCAAGGAGGGGCGCTCTATCCACAGCAGCTCTCAGGCCAGCCCCCAGGCACATCCCCGCAAGGGGGAGAGAGAACCCTCCCCTCCCCAACCATCCCAATGATTTCAGCAAGAACTGAAGAGGGTGGAAAGAAGCCCAGGATGTCATGAGCTGGATCTGGCTTGAACAACCTACCCACCCTGACTTTCAGTTTGCTCATCCATTAAAATGGGAAGAATAATTTCTGCATCTGGTCTTCCCAGCGCCTCCTGGTGGAGCTGCTTTCATCTCTGCACTGTCAGGGCTGGAAGGCAGCTACAAGGCCTGGGCTGGGGCCCTGTCTGACCTCTACCTGCTCCAGCTCCACCCTCTTGTCTATTTACTCCCAAGTACCCCTCCCCTGGGACCCTCCAAAGGCCCTGGACAACTTTCCACTGCAGCACTAAGCTGCCATCTCTCACACTGGGTTGGAACTTGTGGGTACGGTCTGTCTCCCTCAAACACTTTGGGTTCCCCAAGCTCACAGACCAAGTCTTATTCCTCTCTGTGTTCTGCAGCCGTCAGACCAGGACGAGGCCCAGGGGAGGGGCTCAGTGATGCTACCAAATGAGGGAAGGGTCTGGAGACTTTGCAGGCCCTCTGCCTTGATTACTGCCTCCTACCCTCCCTCACCACACTTGCCGGGGACTTTGCGTTCTCCCAAGCCCACCATCCTCCTCAGGGGCTCACTTGGAAAGTCCTTAGGGGAGGAGATACAGACCACCACCCCACCACTTCCGGCAAACCCTGCTCTTTGCCTTCTACCCTTGAATTTCACCCATATCCTTAGACCACAGACCCAGGGGTTTGTGCTAAACTGTTATGCTGGCAGCCTCCAATGAAGCAGGCCTCCAGATATCCATGCCCTTTTGCGTCCTCTTCCGTGCTGACTCTGGCCTTGGCTATATGACTTGCTCTCTCCAACGGGATGTCAAGAAGCGTGAAGCAAGCAGGATTCAATAAGCACTTGCACAGTGGGCCCTGTCCTCTTGGAAGTCTGCTGCTTCTCTGTGAAGGTCAGAAGGACTTCTTTTTATTAGTTTTTTTTATTCTAATTTTATGACAAATTTTATTCCAAAGTGGTTCTAGTAGTACCAGAGACATTGATGTAGAGTTTGAATATTGTTTCAGGTAAAGTGAAAATGGATAAAAGTAATATTTCTAGTTAACATATTTTTAGATGATAGGATTTTAAATGTGTCAGTTACAATAAACATTAATGAACTTATTTATAAAACAGAAACAGACTCACAGGCATAAAACACAAATCCATGATTACCAGAGGGGAAAAATTTAGATAAACAAGGTCCTACCATATATATAGCACAGGGTACTATATTCAATATTTTGGAATAAATTATAATGGAAAAGAAAAAATGCAATGAATATTAAGAATAGATGTTTTACTATTTTATGTATTTTGAAAGGTTTATATATTCAGAATTAAGGGGAGATTTTTTTTTCCTTAAGGAGAACCACTTTATATTGAGTAGTAAACAAAACTCCATTTATGACATAGTAAACAAAATTTCCATCAACTTCTTCAATTAGTCCAAAGAACAAAACCTCTGACTTAATCAGAATTTATATTCAACCTTAAATATTCTAAAATCCATCCATGTCAACTTTGTAATTTTAATCTTGCCTAATACTATGAAATAGGGCAAACCTTAATCAATAGTCAAATTCCTAATTTCCTCTGTTTATCCAGTTTTTTTATTTTGCTTTCTGATTCCATATATTCCACAGTGTTCAATGGATTTGCCATAAACTTCCAAGATGAAGTGGGATTTCTTGCTCATTTTTTGCTTGAAATCTTGACTTGTGTTCATCTTTTTAAACAAAAAATATGCCCCAGAAAACAGCTACATGTTCACCTACTAAAACTTCTTTAAAGATGTTCTTTGCCAGTGGATCCATACTGTGGGTCATCCCGAGGCGTGTACTCAGGAGGCTCTGCATCTAAACTTCTGACCGATCAGAGGCCAGGTGAAGAGAGGCCCAGGGAGAGAGGACACCGTCTCAATAATCCAGCCCCCGCTGCTCCCAGCTGAATGCAGACTCATAAGTGACACAGGCAAAACCAGCAGAACTGGCCAGCTGATCCCAGCTGAACTGCAGAATTTCTAGAAATAATATATCATTTTAAGCCACTAAATTTGGGGGTGGTTTATTTCTCAGCAAGGGCTTCCCAAGTGGCTCAGAGGTAAAGAATCTGCCAATGAAGGAGACTCAGGTTCGATCCCCGGGTCAAGAAGATCCCCTAGAGAAGGAAATGGCAACCCACTCCAGTATTCTTGTCTGGGAAATGCCACAGACAGAGGCGCCTGGTGGGCTACAGTCCACGGGGTCGCAAGAGTCAGACACAACTTAGCAACTTAACAATGATCACTTCTCAGCAAACGATAACTGAAATCTTGGGCCGACCCCGAGTCCTCTCTGCCCACATCTTGCATATCCAGTCCTGTGGGGTCCACTTCCAGAATATATCGTGTATCTGAGCACTTCTTCTCTCATTCCCAGGCACCACTCTAGTCCAGGCCACTGTCCCCCTCACCTGGATTACTCCCAAAGCCTCCTCACTGGATTCCCCACCTCCACTCTTACTCTCCTGCAGTCATCATACAGAGACCAGAGTGAAGCTTTGAGGGTGTTAGATCAAGTCCCCCATCTGCTTGAGACCTTCTAGTTACCTCCTACATCACTTAGATTAAAAGAAAGACCCAGGAATTCTTTGATGGTCTAGTGGTTAGAAGTCCACCTGCAGGGGACCTGGGTTCAATTCCTGGTCCAGGAAGATTCCACATGCAGGGCAGGGGGGCAACTAAGCCCATGTGCCACAACTACTGAGTTGGCACACCCTAAAGCCCATGCTCTTCAACAAGAGAAGCCAGAACAATGAGAAGCCCGTGCACCACAGCTAAAGAGTGGCCACCACTTGCTGCAACTAGAGAAAGTCCACACACAGCAACAAAGACCCGGCGCAGCCATAAATAATTAATGAAATAAACCACAGACTGCTTGAAGCCCTGTGCAGCCCAGGGCCTGCACATCTCCACCCCCACCTCCAGTCACCCCTTGCTCAATGGACTCCAGCCACACTGGTTTCCTTTCTGTTTCTCGAACATGCTAGGCTTATCTCCATCTTGGGGCCTTTGCATCAGTTCTTTACTCTGTCCAGAAGACTCTTCCTCTAGGTCTTTCCATCTAGGTCTTCCAGTTCTCAGCTTATATGTCCCCTCCCCTAAAAGGCTATTTACAGAAGAGGGGACTGAGGCTTGGAGAAGTGAGGTCATTTCCCAAGTACACACAGTTAGGGAGAGTCTGGGCTGGGTTTTCACCCTAGATTTGTGTGAGTCCCCACTTCAGGGCTCTTTCTGCCACATCAGTGGTTTGGGAAGGTGAAAGTCATGGGCTCCTGAAAAGCAGAGGGGTCGGAGGGGCTTCCTTCACTAACTCCTTCCACAAACACTCCCAGATGCAACCTTTGGCCTCTGCCCTGGGTTGAGTGCTGGGGACTCAGAGAGATGAATCAGACCAGACTTTTCTCTCTGGGAGCTCCAGTCTAGGGACAGGGAAAGCAGCAGAGGAGGTCAAGGCCATCAGAGGGGCTCAGACAGCCTTTTGGGGAGGCATAACATGGAGTATGAGGCTGGCTGGGGGCAGGGGCATGGGGGGCAGAAAGTGGGGGTGTTTGTACAGGGGTCAGAGCTGCCTATTGTCCCCTAAAAGTGACCAGGAGACTTAGCATCAGCCATGCCTGTCCAAGCTGCTGTGAGTGAGAGAGAGAGAGAGAGAGAGAATGTGTGTAAGAGAGTAAGGGAGAGTACAAGGGGTAAGGTGGACTTTAGGCAGGAGAAAGGCTGAATGAATAGAATTTACTGATGTGGAATCTAAAGCCCAGAAATGCTGAGTCACTTGCCCAGCTCACCATAAAGGCAGAATTTGAAACAAGCCTATGCTGACACCACCTCCTCCAGGGTCCACTGCTTCTTCACTATGTGACCTCAGCTAAAGCCATTCTCCTTGGGGGCCTTATTTCCTCATCAGTAAACTGAAGGAGTTGGACCAAGGTTCCTTCAGCATGAGGATTCTGCAGAAAATATCACTACTAGAGCTTGGAACCAAATTCAGAACCTGCCTCAACCAGTACAGGATGGTTTCTCTGCCTGCAGCTCCCTCCAGGCCTAAACTGGGTGTCATACAAACTAAAGTCAGGGAGCCCCAGTAATTCCCCCTGTGTCAGGTGGACCTGGGGTCTCTCTCTCAACAGCCCAACCTACAGTTCCAGAATCCCTACAGCCTAGCTGTTTAGAATTTCAGGACTCCTAGTACTTCATTATTAACCCAGCCTAGATCCCAGCTTATCTGTCCACCATTCTCCAGGGTAAATCTGGGACTCCCCTGGTTCTCTCCAGCCTCCAAGAAACACCAAAGCCAATGAAGGAAAGGGGAGAGGCAGCTCTGAAAGATCATTGGTCCATTGTCTGACCAAGGTCTTTTCAAATGAGTCAGTTCTTCGCATCAGGTAGCCAAAGTATTGGAGTTTCAGCTTCAGCATCAGTCCTTCAGGACTGATTTCCTTTATTTATTTTTTTTTTTCTGATTTCCTTTAGGATGGACTGGTTGGATCCAAGCTAGCATCATCTCCCATGTTCCAGCTCTGCTCATCCTTCACCATTCTGTTCCCACAGAGTTCCCTTTCAGGTGCTTCCATTCCATGTATTACATTCAGAATTCCAGGAAATTATATCTGGGAAAGAGAAGTATGGTAAGTAGGATTAGAGCTGATTACAGAACGAGGATTCCCCCATTCTAATGGGGCCTGGGGCATCCTCTGGGGCCTGGTCTCAGTGGTACCCACAGGAGCCATGGCAAAGACCTCAGGCTCTGAATAGGAAGAACTTGGGTTCAGATCTGAGCTTTGCCCCTTACTAGTTGTGTAACTTTGGGCAAGAGGCTTGAATCTCTGAACCTCGGTTTTCTTAGCTACAAAATAAGGATTTGGGATCTATTCACTGAGTTACTGTGAGGATTACATGGAAATAAGGCTCATTATATACCTAAGACATAGTAGGTGATCATGGTAGCCATAGCAATTTGTTCTGCTTATTCTCAGAGGCAGTGGTCTGGCCTCTGAGAGTCCTGGCCCCATAACAGCAGGGGAGGTAGAGAAGGGGCAAGAAGAAGGGGTTAAAATAAAATAGCCGCCACCTAACTACCATGTGCCAGCCCCTGTAGTGATCAGCATATGAGAATATTACTAATTTAACTTTATGAACAAGGCGCGTCTGAAGCACAAAGTTCCATAACTTGGCCAAAGTCACACAGCTAGTAAGTGGCAGAGTTGGGGCATAAATTCAGGCTCTCTGGCTCCAGAGTTCAAACTCTGAACCACTGTTCTATCCTACCTCACCGTTAATCCCATTTTAGGATGAGAAAGGCTGAGGTTCAGAGAAGTAAGTTCTCGCTGCTGCTCAACAGGGGTGCATCTAGGACTCCAGTTGATTAATAGTGACTGAAGTTCTGGCAATTTCTGCTGTTGAGTGCTGCCCTCTAGTGCCCTCCATGGGAGAAGCACACCAGAGGCAAGCCGCAGAGGCTTGTCCATTGCCCACACTCCTCTGACCCACTGCTTCTCCCCACCCCCAGAGCTGCGGGTCTTAGAGCTTCTAAATATCATTCTGAACGTCATCCATATATACAATTTCTTGGTTATCTCACAAATCCTTAAATTCAACAGATCCAGTATTCTTGCCTGGAGAATCCCATGGACAGAGGAGCCTGGCAGGCTACCGTCCATGGAGTCGCAAGAGTTAGACACGACTTTGCGACTAAAGAGAGAGAGAATACCAAGTTTTCACTTTCATACCCCAAACCTGCCGTCCCCCAGTCATGTCTATCCATCCCAGTAGCACAAGCCAGAGCCCCAGCCGTCCTTGACACCTCCCTCTCCCCGTCATTCTCTCTCCATCCCAGGAACAAAATGGCGGCCGAGGAAGGCGACCCGAAAAATAAACATCAGTCAGAACAGAGCAAAAATGTGGAAGCAGAAGATGAGAACAACGGTCCCCTGTTGTGGCCAAGAGGGAAAAAATGAGCTCAGGTGGTTAGAAAGACACAGAAGGAAGCCCAAACACAGCTTTAAGGGCCAGAAGAATGGCACAGTAAGAAACTGTGAAAGAAAAGAAAGGGAAGTCGCTCAGTCGTGCTCGACTCTGGACTGTAGCCCACCAGGCTCCTCTGTCTGTGAAAGTTTTCACGCAAGAGTATTGGAGTGGGTTGCCATTTGAGCCAAAAGGACTGGATTCCTACCCAGATCCACTGCTTAGTGACAGTATGGCCTTGGGACCTTGATGTGCCTCGGTTCCCCCATCTGCAAAATGAATATGACCACGGTTATGTCTAGGACTTCTGTAAGGATCAAATTTAAGTGTTTGCTTTGTAAACTGCACAGCAGAAGTGGGTTATCATCTGGAAATTTCATTCCAACAGACTTCTATCTCCTTTGTTATGCTGTATGCTGGACCTGTACGGTGACTTGTTTTGTTTTCAAAGAATGTCATCAGCTTGAGGGTTTTTAAATTGTGGTTTACCTATATATTATATATAATATATATGATTTTTAAGTTGTGGTGTATGTATATATATATATATATATATATATATACACACATAGAGAGAGAAAATTTGCCCTTTTGTCTATTTTTAAGTTATAGTTCAACAGCATTATTTACATTCACACTGTTGTGCAACCATCACCATTATCTGTTTCCAAAAATTTTCATCATTCCAAATAGAAACTCTGTACCCATTAAGCAGTAACTCCCAACTCCTCCCTCTCTCCAGCCCCTGGAAACCTCTAATCCCTCTCTCTATAAATTTGTTTGTTCTGAATGTAAGTGGAATCACAATATTTGTTCTTCTGTGTCTGGCTTGTTTTACTTAGCATGATGTCTTCAAGGTTCATCTGTGTTGTAGCATGTATCACAAAAATTTCATCCTTTTCATGGCTAAATAACACTCCATTGTGTGTACATACGATATTTTGTTTATCCATTCATCTGTTGATAGACACTTGATTTTCCTCGTTTCTGCTTTTGTGAATAGTGCTGCAATGAATACTGGTGTATAAGTACCTATTTGAGTCCCTGGTTTCAATTTTGGGGGGTATGTATTAATACCTATAATGTCATCAGTTTTTGACAGAGTTTTTCAGTATACACTGTGGCAGGGGAATGGGCTCTTGGGAACAGGACCCAGTGTGTTTGAGTGTGGGAGGGAGAAGGGCAGAGGAGGAGAGGGGTTTCAGTGTGGCCATGCTTCCCAGGTGGCGCAGTGGTAAAGAATCTGCCTGCCAGTGCAGGAGATACAAGAGACACAGGTTTGATCCCTGGGTCAGGAACATCCCTGGAAGAGGAAATGGCAACCCACTCCAGTATTCTTTCTTGCCTGGAAAATTCCAGGTAAGAATTTTCCTGGAATGGACAGAGGAGCCTGACAGGCTCCATGGGGTTGCAAAGAGTTGGCCATGACTGAGCACATACACACACATGATTAGAATACCAGCTAACTTGTGCCTTTTGCAAAGTACTTCACAAAACCCACTAGAGGAGGAAATATCATCTCCATTTTACAGATGAGGAGGAGGGAAGTGGCTTCTCCAGGGCCACACAGCTGGTGAGAGACAGGAGCTCCAGAGAAAGGTCCCCTCACACATCAGAGAATGCAGCCAGAGGTTCAGAGATTATATTTTCCTTCCTTCCCTCCCCGCTTTTTCCCTTTCTAGGCAAAGAAAGTAGTTCTGAGCTGCTCCAATCATCATGTTCCTACTTATTAATCTATGGTGTTTTAGACACTACAGAATCAGAATTTTGTAATGCACATTTACTAAACATGTTCTGGAAAAAGCAAAACTATGGAGACAGAAAAAAGATCAGCGGTTGCCAAGGGCTGAGATGGGGAGAGGAACAGCTTGCAGAAAAGTTTAGGGAAATTTGGGGGGGTGTGGTGATGAAACTGATCTAAATTTTGATTGTGGTGGTGGTTATGCAGATATATGTATTTCTCAAAATTCACAGAGCTGTACACTAAAAAGGATAAATTTCACTGTATGTAAATTATACCTTAATCTTTGAATGAATAAACGAATGGGAGAAAACTGAACTAGATTCTAGACTCTTAGATTTTTTGGTACCTTGAAAACTTGGCAAGGGACTTCCCTGGCAGTCCAGTGGTTAAGACTACCTTCCAATTCAGGAGGCATGGGTTTGATCCCTGGTTGAAGAATTAAGGTCCCATGTGCTACTTGCGGTGTGGTCAAAAATTTTTTTAAAAAAGAAAGAAAATTTGACAAGTAACAGTGCCCTTAATCAATTAGTTACAGCATCAGTTCAGTTCAGTCGCTCAGTCATGTCTGACTCTTTGCGACCCCATGAATCACAGCACACCAGGCCTCCCTGTCCATCACCAACTCCCGGAGTCCACCCAAACCCATGTCCATCGAGTCAGTGATGCCATCCAGCCATCTCATCCTCTGTCGTCCCTTTCTCCTCCTGCCCCAAATCCTTCCCAGCATGAGGATCTTTTCCAGTGAGTCAACTCTTCACATGAGGTGGCCAAAATATTAGAGTTTCAGCTTCAACATCAGTCCTTCCTATGAACACCCAGGACTGATCTCCTTTAGGATGGACTGGTTGGATCTCCTTGCAGTCCAAGGGACTCTCAAGAGTCTTCTCCTACACCACAGTTCAAAAGCATCAGTTTTTCGGTGCTCAGCTTTCTTCACCGTCCAACTCTCACATCCATACGTGACTACTGGAAAAACCATAGCCTTGACTAGACGGACCTTTGTTGGCAAAGTAATGTCTCTGCTTTTAAATATGCTATCTAGTTTGGTCATAACTTTCCTTCCAAGGAGTAAGCATCTTTTAATTTCATGACTGCAATCACCATCTGCAGTGATTTTGGAGCCAAAAAAATAAAGTCTGACACTGTTTCCACTGTTTCCCCATCTATTTCCCATGAAGTGATGGGACCAGATGCCATGATCTTAGTTTTCTGAATGTTGACCTTTAAGCCAACTTTTTCACTCTCCTCCTTCACTTTCATCAAGAGGCTTTTTAGTTCCTCTTCACTTTCTGCCATAGGGTGGTGTCGTCTGCATATCTGAGGTTATTGATATTTCTCCTATCAATCTTGATTCCAGCTTGTGCTTCTTCCAACCCAGCATTTCTCATGATGTACTTTGCATATAAGTTAAATAAGCAGGGTGACAATATACAGCCTTGACGTACTCCTTTTCCTATTTGGAACCAGCCTGTTGTTCCATGTCACTTCTAACTGTTGCTTCCTGACCTTTATACAGGTTTCTCAAGAGATAGGTCAGATGGTCTAGTATTCCCATCTCTTTCAGAATTGTCCACAGTTTATTGTGATCCACACAGTCAAATGCTTTGGCATAGTCAATAAAGCAGAAATAGGTATTTTTATGGAACTCTCTTGCTTTTCCGATATTGCTATTTTTTCATATACTCATTCATTTATGATAAAAATGAAAGTCCTGGAGTCCAACCCAAGAATCAGAACACCACTAAAAGTGAAGTCTGCTTACAGATTTCCCCGTCATTTCTTTTTTTTTCCCAAGACTTTATTTAGTCAAGTAAATATTTATTTCACCATGCATAGAAATATGAGCAATATGCAGTATTGGTGTTGTTTAGTCACTAGATCATGTCCAACTCTTTCACGACCCCATGGACTGTGGCCCACCAGCCTCCTCTGTCCATGGGATTTCCCAGGCAAGAATACTAGAGTGGATTGCCATTTCCTTCTCCAGCGTCCCTGTCACTTCTGATCCCTCCAATACCCCACCCCCAGATAATCATGATTCTGAATTTTGTGTTTCTCATTATCTTGTTTTTTTTAAATCTTTTTTCCACGCATAAATTAGGCTGAAAGTGAAAGTTACTCAGTTGTGTTCGACTCTTTGTCACCCCAAGGACTGTAGCCTACCAGGCTCCTCTGTCCATGGGCTTAACCTTATGAATTTGCTATATATGTATTTTTTAGGTCAAGAGGGCCTTCCCCAGTGGTCCAGTGGTTAAGCATCTGCCGTACAATGCAGGGGACATGAGTTCAATCCTTGGTCCAGGAAGATCCCACATGCCATGGAGCAACTAAGCCCATACACCACAACAGAGCTCTAGAGCTGGGCTCTGCAGCGGTAGAAGCCACCACAGTGAGAAGCCTGAGCACCACAACTAGAGAACAGCCCCTGCCCTCTGCAACTAGAGAACGCCTGGGCAGCAATAAAGCTCCAGCACAGCCGAAAATTAATTAATCAATTCATTTTTAAAAACCAGTCAAAAAACAGCTATGCAATATGGTTCAACCCAATATTGTACCTAAATATAGTATTTCCAGTTGTATTTGAACTTTATGAAAAGGATACCATTCCACGTGCACTCTTCTCTGACTTGCAGTTTTTTCACTCAGTATTATATCACTGTGATCTAGCCATACTGCTATTTTTCATTCATTTTCTACTGCTATATAGTTATTCCACATTTCTTTATCTCCTATCAATGGCATTTGGATGTTTTCAGTTTGGGGTTACTGTGAACAATGTTTCTGCCACTGTTCTTGTACATGTCTCCTGGTATATATGTGAAATTCTTGTGGTTGTATCCCAGAAATACACTTACTGGGTCTTATGGTACACAGATGTTCAACTGTATACGATATGACTCACTTTCTGAGGTCCAAATGAAGTTACAATGGCCACTTGGCCCAGGTGAGAATGTGGACAAGATGTACTGAGAAGGACTGTCATGGGGGGTCTGTGGTGGAAATTGAGCACCTACTCTGTGCCTATGGCAGGGCACCTATAGAATGAGACGGTGGTGCCCTGAGAGGTGAGATAGGGAAGGAAACCCCCCCAGTCACCATGGGAATTAGCTTCCAAGGAGTGTCCCACCCTGGCTGGGGAAGGGGAGGACTTGGCAAACCAAAAAGGGCAGACAAAGGGTTCTCTCCTAGTTGGCAGCATCTCTGTCTGGGATTAGGAAGTTGTGTATCTTTAATATACCTGGAGGGGAAGGGGCTCAGTGGTACTGAATTCCACTTACCCATCCTACCTCAGTGATTTCTTCCCATATCCTTTATCTCACTTTGCATCTGTACCCTTTTGAAATTCTCCCAGTTGGAGAGAGGTACTATTATTTCCACAGATGAGGTTTGGAGAAGGAAGTCTTGCCCAAAGTTACACCATTTGGGCCAAATGCCTGAGCAAATAATTTCCCCTTCCTAAGCCTCAGTTTCCTCATCTGTAAAATGAAGATGATAACACCTGAGGTGTTATTCTCAGGTGGAAGGATTAAATAATACTATGCAAGTAAAGGATTAAGCATGGATCCTGGAGATGCTCCCTAAAAGTCACTTATTCACTGCTGCTATTGTTGCTATGAAGTTAGTATTAAGAGGAATAGGAACCTAGAATAATCCGATCCCTGCCATCTGCCGCCCAACGACATGGCCTCTTGCAGAGACCCCATGGGATGCAGTGATCATGGCCCATTTTGGCCACTTCTGCTCATCTGGGATGTATTTCATGACTGCACAGCCCAGTCTCCACTTCCACCCTGCTCCTAGGCCCCAGAGCAGAGGCCCTTGTCTTCCTCTGCAGATTTCCTGGAACAGAGAAAGTGAACTGATCAGAACAGGCGAACCAGGCCCCCTCAGGACAGAGGGAGACATCAGAGCCCAGCGGTTCACTCAGCAGAGAATATCTGCTGACAGTGTAAGTCACTCAGTCATGTCCGACTCTTTGCAACCCCATGGACTGTCCATGGAATTCTCCAGGCCAGGATACTGAAGCAGGTAGCCTTTCCCTTCTCCAGGGGATCTTCCCAACCCAGGGATCAAACCCAGGGTCTCCCGCATTGAGGGCGGATTCTTTACCAGCTGAGCCACAAGGAAAGCCCCGAATATCTGCTGAGCATCTACTATGTACCCGGTCCTGCTCTGGGCACCCAGGACATTAGGGAACAGGACTATACCCTAGTGAGAAGCTAAAGGAGGAGACAGGAGAGAAAAGTGTGCTGAATGTTTTGATAAGGACTGCAGAGAACTGCTCTGTTTAACAGAAAACCAGACAGGCATAGTTGTAAAAGAGGAGACTTCCCAGGTGGCCAGAGTGGTAAAGAACACACGTGCCAATGCAAGAGACATAAAAGATGTGGGTTCGATTCCTGGGTTGGGAAGATCCCCTGGAAAAGGGCATGGCAACCCACTCCAGTATTCTTGCCTGGAGAATCCCATTTTCAGAGGAGCCTGGCGGGTTACAGTACACTGGGTTGCAGACTTGGACACGACTGAAGCGAGTTAGCACGCAGGCCAAAAGGAAGGCGTCTCTGGAGACATGCCCTTTGGGCTGAGCGTTTAAGGCCTGGCAGGTGCTAGAGACTGCTAGGACCATCTCCCCATTTAACAGAAAAGAAGACTGAGCCCATCGTCTGTCCACCGTGCCCGCCAGGCCTCATTTAACCAGACTAGGCCGAGCGCTGCGTTCCAAGTCCGCAGGTCAAGCGCCAGAGCCCGGCCGACTTGCCCGCCCAGCTCCCGGGGCGGGGCCTCGGCCCAGGTGCGCGGCGGAGGCGCTTCGCGGAGGCAGGAAGTGTGTCCCCAGCGGCGGCCCGTGCACCGCTCCCGCGAGACGCTCACCTGCGCCCCAGGTGAGCAGCGAGGGGGGGCGGGGGGAGGGGCCGAGCTGGAGGCGGCTCACCTGGCGGGACAGGTAAGCCCCGCGCGGGCCCGAGGGGGCGCGAATCAGGGCGGCACCAGTGTGGAAAGACCCCCCTCCCGAGGCTACAGCCGGGCGGGCGAGGGTCCCGTGGCCGGTTCCTCTGGGGCCACCCTCCCACTTCCGGGGTGCGCGGGCCGGGCCCGGCCAGGGAGCGGCCTGAGCGGGCGCCTCGGCTGGGTGGGCAGACTGGGGGTGAGGGGGCCGGGTTCGCCCTTAGGGTGGCTCTGGCTTGAGGTGGGAGCCGTGCTTGCTGGGGAGGAGGGGGCGGGCGGGGAGAGGGGGCCATGCACAGCCCGAGGGGCTGTGTCTACGGCTGGATCCTCCCGCGGGCGGAGGGCCCCAGCAGCCGGAGAGGGTGGTGCTTGCCCCGAGGGCACCGCTGGTGTAGGGGCTGTGTTAGCCCGAGCGGCAGAACCGGGATCTGGTTCTCCCTTGCCCCCAGGACTAGGTGCCCGAGGGGGCGGGAATCGGGGGGCTGAGACTTTGGGGCCGGAGATCAAGGGTGCACAGATGCCCAGGCACGCGAGTCGACGGCTGTTTTGGTGAGCAAGGCTGGGGAGCCCCTCTCGGCCGGTCGGATGTGCCAGACGCAGCTGGGCCTCTCCTGGTCGCCTTCGGAGGAAGGGGATGGAACGGAGAGAGACCTCCAATGTGTGCGTTCTCAGGGACTAAGAGGGAGTGGGAGAGCCCCAATTAGAAGTGGGGAGGGCGTGCCAGGGTCTGGGGGATTCTGACCCTGAGGAGGATCCCTGCAGTGCCTTGGGGTGCCTAGAGACCCAGCCCCTCCCAGGTGCCAGGCACAAGCTCTAAGGCCCTAAAAGCAATATCTCATTTAAACCTGAAGGTGGCCCCTGCAGGTATTCCGCTCTCCCCTTGTTAAAGATGAGAAAACTGAGGCCAGGAGCCTTACCCCAGGCACAGCAGGAGCCCCTGCTGAAGCAAGAGACTGGTGCTCCTAGGATTTTGGAGGTGGGGGCAAAAGCAGCAAGGGGGAGATATAGCCAGGACGAAATGGCCTGAGATTGACTTCAGGAGGGTTCAGGGTCTAGAAAGAAGTGGGAAACTGAAGCCAGGCACTGTCTTTTAGCCCAGGTCTTGTCCCCTTTTCCTCCATCCCACCCTCCCTTCTAGATGTGCGGTGTAGAATAAAGTACAGGGGCTCTAGAGTCTGACAGACCACAGTACAAATCCAGCTCTATTCCCTCCCACCTAGGTGTCTCTGGACAAGTCACTTCACCTCTCTGAGCTTCAGAGTCCTGATCTGTAAAGTGGAGATATAATACTTACAGGGCAATTATGAGCGCTTAAATAAAGCAAAAATCCTCTTGAGCTGGAGCCTGTTTCTGGCCCATTTAGCACAGTGTTGGGCACATGGTAGGTGCTCAGTAAATATTTGTTGGATAAATTTAATGAATGGTGGTGGTGGTGTTCAGTCACTCAGTCATGGCCAACTCTTTGCAACCCCATGGACTGCATCACACCAGGCTTCCCTGTCCTTCACGATCTCCTGGAGTTTGCTCAAACTCATGTCCATTGATTTGGCGATGCCATCCAACCATCTCATCCTCTGTCGTCCTCTTCTCCTGCCCTCAATCTTTCCCAGCATCAAAGTGTTTTCCAATGAGTCAGCTCTTCGAATCAGATGGCCAGAGTATTGGAGCTTCAGTTTCAGCATCAGTCCTTCCAGTGAATATTCAAGGTTGATTTCCTTTAGGATTGACTGGTTTGATCTTGCTGTCCAAGGGACTCTCAAGAGTCTTCTCTAACACCATAATTCAAAAGCATCAGTTCTTTAGCGATCAGCCTTCTTTATGGTCCAACTCTCACATCCATACATGACTAGTGGAAAAACCATAGCTTTGACTATACAGACCTTTGTTGGCAAAGTGACGTCTCTGCTTTTTAATATGTTGTCTAGGTTTGTCATAGCTTTCCTTCCAAGGAGCAAGCGTCTTTTAATTTCATGGCTGCCGTCACTGTCCACAGTGATTTTGGAGGCCAAGAAAATAGAGTCTGTCACTGTTTCCATTTTTTTCCCCCATCTATTTGCCATGAAGTGATAGGACCAAATGCCATGATATTAGTTTTGTGAATGTTGAGGGTTTTTTTTTTTTTCTTAATTGAATTTGTTACAGTATTGTTTATGTTTTATGGTTTGGTTTTTTGAGGCATGAGGGATCTTAGCTCCCTGACCAGGGATTGAACCCACACCTCCTGTATTGGAAGGCAAAGTCTTAACTACCAGACTGCCAGGGAATTCCTGGTTGAGTTTTAAACCAAATTTTTTACTCTCCTCTTTCACCTTCGTCAAGAAGCTGTTTAGTTCCTCTTTGCTTTCTTCCATAAGGGTGGTGTCATCTACATATCTGAGATCATTGACATTTCTCTTGGCAGTCTTGACTTCAGCTTGAGCTTTATCCAGCCTAGCATTTCCCATGATGTACTCTTCATCTAAGTTAAATAAGCAGGATGACAATATACAGCCCTGACGATCTCCTTTCCCAGTTTGGAACAAGTCTGTTGTTCCATGTCCAGTTCTAACTGTTGTTTCTTGACCTGCATAGAGATTTCTCAAAAGGCAGGTCAGGTGGTCTGGAATTCCCATCTCTTTAAGAATTTTCCACAGTTTGTTGTGATCCACACAGTCAAAGGCTTTAGCATAGTCAATGAAGGAGAAGTAGATGTTTTTCTGGAATTCCCTTGCTTTTTCTATGATCCAATGGATGTTGGCAATTTGATCTCTTGTTTCTCTGCCTTTTCCAAGCCCGGCTTGTACATCTGGAAGTTCTCAGTTCATATATTGTTGAAGCCTAGCCTAAGGATTTTGAGCTTTACCTTGCTGGCATGTGAAATGAGTGCAATTGTGCGGTAGTTTGAACATTCTTTGGCATTGCCCTTCTTTGGGATTGGAATGAAAACTGACCTTTTCCAGTCCTGTGGCTACTGCTGAGTTTTCCAAATTTGTTGCCATATTGAGTGCAGCACTTTCACAGCATCATCTTTTAGGATTTTAGATAGCTCAACTGGAATTCCATCACCTCCACTAGCTTTGATAACTCCTAAAACCTTGGAGGTAGAGGAGAAGACAGTAATTGAAACCATGAATAGTAACCTCTTGTTCTTACAAATCCTGGGTACCCCAGAGCTCAGTGTAGTTCAAACAGGGTAGATATGCCTACCCTCTTGATCCAAGGGCTAAGCCCAAGACTCAAGGCTCTCCCTATGCAAGCACTCCTGGGCACAGGTTCATCCATGGAGTTGGCAGCTGACCACTCTGACTGCCCCTTACTCAAATAATAGATGGTGTGGCATATGATTCAAAGCGGGCCACTTGTGTTCAAACAGATGTGTGGCTTTGACAATTTATTTAACCTCTCTTTGCTTCAGTATAACAACAATAATACCTACAAATAGGGTTCTGAGAATTAATTGGTTGAGTACATTTAAGCATTGAGAACAATGTAAGCTATCAACAATTAACTCTTTCACTAGAATCAAACTCCTGAGGTTAGGAAATTTTGTCTATTTTACCACTTCATCCACATAATTTAGAAGTGTCTGCCGTACAGTAGGCTCTCAGTAAATATTCATTAATTGAGTGAATGAATAAATCCATACCCACCCCAGCATTGCTCAGACCAAGGCAGAGGGTTTTTAACCACTTGCCTGTCTGGACTGTGAGGGAGGACTTTCAAGCCACCTATTACAGTTTCAGTTTGGGAACCTTTGGAGGGGGACTTCACCTTACCCTCACCAGACTGCTGTTTCCCCCACTCCAGTCAGCCTGGAGCCTAAGTCCTTTCTCTTTCTACCTGATGGTCCTGGTTCTACCCAGAGGTCAGACAGAATGTGTCAGTCTCCCCAAGTACTTACTGGACCAACCCTGTTCTGGACGCTGATGCAGAAAGGACTCAGACACAGTCCCTGTCCCCTTGGGTCATATAGGCTTATCTTCAAACAGTGGGTTCAAGGCCAACTCAGCTGACCCAGAGCCAAGCAGAATGCTGTGCGGGGAGGGGCTCCCATCTGACTTGAGGTTCTGGAGAGTCCTTGGAGAAGGAGCACTGTGTGGAGCTGGGGGAATGGGTTGAAGAGTTGCAGAAATAAAGAACTCCTGTATCCTCCTCATCCACATTCATCACAGCTAACATTCCCTCCCTTTCTCTGTCAACACATACCTTCTCTTTTGGGAGGAACCCTTTGAGATTAGGTTGCAGATACCATGCGTCTTTACCCCTAAATGCTTCAGTGTACATTGCCTAAGAATAAGAACATTGTCTTATTTCACACTTAATTTAACATTGGTGATTTAACGTGAACATAATAGTATTAAATAATATGCAGTCTAGTTTTAAATTTTACCAATTATCCAGTTTCTCCTCTTGATCCAGGATTCAATCCAGGATTGCACATTCCATTTACTTATCATGTCCCTTAATTTGCACTTGTCTGATGTCTTTTCATGATTACGTTCAGGTTATACTTTTTTGGCAGGAATACTCCATAAGCGATGCTGTATCCTTTTTAGCACGTAGTACCAGGAGACACAACCTGTCAGTTTGTCCCATTATTAATAATGTTAACTTTGATCACTTGATTAAAGTGGTGTCTGCCTAGTTCCTCCAGGTTCATGTTTGTTGTCATTGTTGCTGCTTTTTAAATTGTCACTGGCTGCAGTAAGTAGAAGGGAATAGAAGTGGCCAGAATGGGGGCCTTGATATTATCTGGGTGAGAGATGATGGTGGCTGTGTGTAGGGAGGCAGCATTGATCTGCCCGAAGCACATCACCTATTAAAGCCAGAACTGGGACTGGAATACATATAGCCTGATGTTCAGTCCCAGTTCCCTTCACATCACCAGTTCTAGCACATTAGTAAAAGAATAATGTCTCAGAAAATCTAGGCCAAGGATAGTTACTGCCCAGCAAACCCTTCCATGTGGTCAGAAAGAAAGAAAGAACGTGAAGTCACTCAGTCATGTCCGACTCTTTGCGACCCCATGGACTGTAGCCCACCAGGCTCCTCCATCCATGAGATTTTCCAGGCAAGAGTACTGGGGTAGGTTGCCATTTCCTTCTCCAGGAGATCTTCCCAACCCAGGGATTGAACCTGGGTCTCCCGCATTGTAGGCGGACACTTTACCGTCTGAGCTACCAGGGAAGTCCTCCATGTGATCAGGGACCTTTCCAAATATATCACGACGTAATGTTCCCACAGGCAGAGTTATTTTCTCCTATAATGCTGTGTATATTCTATGTGTTCCAGCTTTTAAGCATCTGTTTTCCCTACAAAACATGTGTGAATCACAGGAATAGCATCTATAGGTCATTCATGTTTGGTTCTACTGTGCCTAACACAGGGCCAGGTTCAGTGAAATCTGAGCTTGCTAGCAGCCAAGTCAAAAAGGAAAAGAAGATGCATTTTGAGGCTTACTTTCTTGTCTAATCAAAGGCAGCAAAACAGTGCTTGATGTTAAATGTTGATAGGAGAGCCAGTCTGAGTCATGGACAGGGGACCTGTTGATTCCCAAGTCTGATCTGAAGGAGGAGGGGAAGAAAGGGAAGGTGGTGAGGATCAGGTTCTGTAGCAAGTCAGATAGATGGAAAGGCATTTGTTGAGCAGCCTCAGGCTCTGTCCTGGTGGGCTTACCAATGGTAGGGAGACACTCAGGGAGACCATTACCCCAAAAGTGAGATCCCAGGAGCTTTTTCTTTTTATGTGGCAAAATATGCCTAACATAAAATATACCATTTTAATTTTTAAGTGGTTTTGATGTTACAGTCCTGTATGTGACATTAAATACATTCACATTGTTGTGTACCCATCGCTACTGTCCATCTCCAGAACGTTTTCATTTTCCCAAACTGAAACTCTGCCCATTATATAATAACTTCCCACTCTCCCCCTGCTTCCAGCAACTACCAGTGTACCTTTTTTTTTTTTTTACTGTTCTAGATATTTCATATAAGTGGGACCATAAAATATTTGTCCTTTTGTGTCACGCTTATTTCACCTAGCATAATATCTCAAGGCTCATCTATGTTATTTGTTGTTTAGTTGCTAAGTCATGTCTGACTCTTTGCAACCCCATGGACTGCAGTACTCCAAGCTCCCCTGTCCTTCACTATCTCTCAGAGTTTGCTCAGGTTCATGTCCACTGAGTTGGTGATGCTATCTAATCATCTAACCCTCTGCAGCCCCCTTCTCCTTTTGCCTTTAGTATTAGGGTCTTTTCCAATGAGTTGGTTCTTTACATCAGGTGGTCAAAATACTGGAGCTTCAGCTTCCAATAAATATTCAGGACCGATAACCTTTAAGATTGACTGGTTTGATCTCCTTGCAGTCCAAGGGACTCTCAAGAGTCTTCTCCAGCACCACAATTCACAGTTATCAATTCTTCAGTGCTCAGCTTTCTTTGTGGTCCAACTCCCACAACCATACATGACTACTGGAAAAACCAAAACTTTGACTATACAGACCTTTGTCTGCAAAGTGATGTCTCTGCTTTTTAATATGCTCTCTCGGTTTGTTATAGCTTTCCTTCCAAAGAGCATGCAACTTTTAATTTCATGGCTGCAGTCACTGTCCATGGTGCTTTTGGAGTCCAAGAAAATGAAATTTGTCACTGCTTCCACTTTTTCCCTTCTATTTGCCAATGAAGTGATGGGACTAGATGCCATGATCTTAGTGTTTCGAGTGTTGAGTTTTAAGCCAGCTTTTTCATTCTTCTCTTTCACCTTCATCAAGCGGCTCTTTAGTCCCTTTTTACTTTCTGCCATTAGAGTGGTATCAACTGCATATCTGAGCTTTTTGATATTTCCCCCAGCAATCTTGATTTCAGCTTGCTATTCATCCAGCAGTGGTAAAGAATCCACCTGCTAATGCAGGAGATGTAGGAGACGTGGATTCAATCCCTGCGTCGAGAATATCCCCTGGAGGAGGCAATGGCAACCCACTCCAGTACTCTTGCTGGAAAAATTCCATGGACAGAGGTAGCCTGGCAGGCTACAGTCCATGCGGTCATAAAGAGTCAGACATGACTGAGTGACTGAACACACACACTCTGTATATAAGTTAAATAAGCAGGGTGACAATATACAACCTTGTACTCCATTCTCAATTTTGAACCAGTTGTTCCTTGTTATAGCATGTATCAGAACTTCATTCCTTTTCAGGGCTGAATAATATTCCATTGAGAGTATATAGCTTTTTTTTTTTTTAATTCATTCATCCATCAGTGGACACTTGGGTGGTTTCCATCTCTACTTATTGTGAATAATGCTGCTATGAACATTGGTATACAAATATCTGTTTGAGTGCCTGTTTTCCATCCTTTTGGGTGTAACCCAGAAGTGATATTGCTGGATTATATGATAATTTTATGTTTAACTTTCTAAGGAAGCTCCACACTGTTTTCCAGAGTAGCTATACCACTCTCCATTCCCACCAGCAATGCACGAAGGTTCCACCCTCTCCATATCGTCTCCAGGGCTTGTCATTTTCTGTTTTTAATAGTAGCCATCCCAGTGGGTGTGAAGTCCCAGGAGGTTTTGATATATAGGTTAGAGCACAGAGAGAATTTCCTCTTTGGGGAAGCAAGGGGACAGGGTTCATGGACATCCTTGGGCCCATCCACATCACAGACCTCAGAAGCCAGAAGTCCGAAGCTCCTTAGGTCTCAGCGCAAGCACGTGCCCCAGCCTCTGACTCTGTCTCCCTCCTGGCCTCTCCCTCACAGGCGTCTGGCTACAGCGGACCATGCAGTGAGCCATGCCCCGCCCCGGACACCCCCGCCCATCATCTGGGCCCCCACGCTTGGGACCGTGGGAGCAGCCAGCGGATCTATGCCTGGAGACCTACGATGAGCCATCCCGGGCCCCACCGAGCCGCCGCACCCGCAGGCCAGACCCCAAGGACCCCGGGCACCACGGGCCCGAGAGCCTTACCTTCATCTCTGGCTCTGCCGAGCAGACTCCCGAGCCCCCTGCCTGCTGCCTGCTCTGGCGACCCTGGGTGTGGGACTGGTGCCGGGCGGCCTTCTGCTTCCGCCGCTGCCGGGACTGCCTCCAGCGCTGCGGGGCCTGTGCGCGGGGCTGCAGCCCCTGCTTGTCCTCGGGGGACTCCCCTGAAGGCGCCGCCGAAGCCAGCTGGGTCAAGGAACACAACGGCGTGCCCCCCAGCCCTGACCATGCGCCTCCCAGCCGGCGGGATGGCCAGCGGCTCAAGTCGGCCATGGGGAGCAGCTTCAGCTACCCCGACGTCAAGCTCAAAGGCATCCCAGTGTACCCCTACCGCAGCGCCACCTCCCCCGCCCCCGACGCGGACTCCTGCTGCAAGGAGCCGCTGGCTGACCCCCCGCCCATGCGGCACAGCCTGCCCAGCACCCTCGCCAGCAGTCCCCGGGGCTCCGAGGAGTACTACTCCTTCCACGAGTCGGACCTGGACCTGCCCGAGATAGGCAGTGGCTCCATGTCCAGCCGAGAGATCGACGTGCTCATCTTCAAGAAGCTGACAGAGCTGTTCAGCGTACACCAGATCGACGAGCTGGCCAAGTGCACCTCAGACACTGTGTTCCTGGAGAAGACCAGTAAGATCTCGGACCTTATCAGCAGCATCACCCAGGACTACCACCTGGATGAGCAGGACGCTGAGGGCCGCCTAGTGCGCGGCATCATTCGCATCAGTACCCGCAAGAGCCGCGCCCGCCCGCAGACGGCAGAGGGGCGCTTAAGCCGGGCGGCCGCCCCAGCTGCCACCGCCCCAGACAGCGGCCACGAGACCATGGTGGGCTCAGGGCTCAGCCAGGACGGTAGGTGGGGTGCCACGCCGAGGGGCGGAATGGAGGAGGCTTTGGCTAGGAAGGGTTACACTGGGCTCTTTGGCCGCTGTGGATCCGCCCCTCAGCTGGTCCCAGCTTTTCCTCCTTCTGGTTCTCCGGTCCTCTGCGTCCCCTCACAGGCTCCTTCTGTCCCTCGCTGCTACCTGCCAGAGGGGCTTCCAGGCCTAGCGAGCTAGTCTGGTTAACAGGACCCAGGTACCCATATGAATTTGGACCTCTGACCTGTGCTGGCCTAACCAAACCCCCCATCCACCATTGTACAGATAGACAGACACACACACACACCCCCTCCGTGTCGGTTTTTAAACATCATTTCTCTATACATACACACACACGCTATTTCTCTAACCCAGCGCACATGCATACACACACACTGTGTCAGTTTTTAAACATCACTTCTCTACACACTCACACACAGACACACACACAATGTCTCCCTAACCCAGCACGTGCATGCATGCGCACACATGCACACAAAATGTTTCTCTAACCCAGCACGCATGCACACACACATACATTCCATGTTGCTTTTTAAACATCATTTCTCTACACACACACAGACACACACACACACACACGATATACACACACCCTCCATGTCACTTTTTAAACATCATTTCTCTACACACACACATATGATGTTTCTCTAACCCAGTGCACATACACACACACACACACACACGATGTTTCTCTAACCCAGTGCGTGTACACAAACACACACACACACTCCATGTCATTTTTTAAACTTCATTTCTCTACACACACACACACACACGATGTTTCTCTAACCGAGCCCAGGGCTAATAAGTGGGGAATGAGATTGAAAGGACATGATAATGACCACTGCCCCTTGTGTTCCCTCCTAGAACTCACAGTGCAGATCTCCCAGGAGACAACCGCAGATGCCATTGCCAGGAAGCTGAGACCCTATGGAGCCCCAGGTTTGGTCCTGACGTGATGAGGAGTGCGGAGAGGAGAGGGGACAGCCCTCGCGGCCCCCAACCTGCCCCTCTCCCAGCTTCCTCCTGGGGTGGGTGAGGATGGGATCAGAAAGGGAGGAGAGGCCCGAGCAGCCTCTTACCCTATCCCTGTCCTGCAGGCTGGCTCAAAGATTCCGTTGGGAGAGATTCAGGGGGATGCCCCTGAGCCAGGAGGCAGGCAGGTGCCCAGAGCCTGAATCGAAACCCTGGTCACTGGAGAGAAAAGTGGAGGGTGGGGGAGGTGGGCACCCACTGGAGCTGAAAGGCACCCTGTGTGGTCTCTACTGCTATCTTCTTGGCTTTCACAAGCCCCTGGAAGCAGGGTCATTCCCCTTTACAGGGAGCAAGACGGGTTGAGAGAGGCAAAGCCGCCGAGTGGCTCACCCACCCAGCTCAAGTCCCCCTCTGATTCTTCTCAGCAGGTTGTTTCCTGCCCGAGGGCTTTGCATGAGCCCCTCCCCATCTCTGAGCCTCTGTTTCCTCCTTCCTTCCCCTGCAGGATACCCTGCCAGCCACGACTCATCCTTCCAGGGCACCGACACAGACTCTTCAGGAGCACCGCTGCTCCAGGTGACCTGCTAACCCTCGCCAGGCCCAGCGCTGCCTCCCCATCTGAGAGGACAGTCTACAGCATGAGCAGAGGGACCAGAGCCCCCCTTTGCGGGAGGCAAGGCCATGAGCCCAGAAGCAGTGCCCACTCTGGCTCCTCCCGCCTTGGCTGAATGGTTCCCGAGCCACATGCATTTCACTGGGCTGTGGCACCCCCGATCCCCTGGGGTCCCCCGCTGGCCTGGCCCCTGCCTGGGCCTGTCCTTCCTGCCCCATCTTCAGGAGGCCTGGGTCATGGAAAGCAAAAGCTGAGGAGGGGACTTCTGGGACTGAATCCCAACTCCATCCCCATAACATGCTCCCCCTGTAACATACAACCCATAATCTATCATGCAGTCCTCCCCCTCCCCAGGACAGAGCGGGTAACAGCTCCAAGAAGCTTGTCTTAAATGTATTGGGTTTGAGAGCAGGCAGGACCTCTGTCTGGAACTGTGGGCAGTGCCCACTCCATGTTATGTTCTGTTGAGCAGTTAGGTTCCTGGCTGGTGTTCTACATACTAATGTGACCATAGTACAAACTTAATAGATATCTGTCTGCTCATCTTGGCTGTGATGCTGTCCTTTCTGTCGCATTTGCCTGACTGCTGCCTGGGGCAGGAGACCACGCAGAGCATCCAGCCTGGCCTAGTGCTGTGGGGTTGAGGTCAGAAGGCTAAACTGAGAGCAGTAAGGCCCATCTCTCAGACTCATCACAGTGAGTTCCAGGAGATCGAGACAAGTGCAGCATCTGTACCTTAGAAGGATTTACTAAGTAGCTTCTGTCATGATTGAGAGGTCTGTCTAGGCCGGCCTTTTGCCCCAATTCACTGCCCACAGGTGGGCCTGCTCCTGGCCATCCCTGCAGTTTCTCCACACCCTGAGTGCATGTCAGCCCCCACCCAGCCCGCCACAGACCTGGGGCTCCCTCCACCCCCCTGGTGCTTACAGCATTGAGCACCACTGGTGTCTTCTTGGCTCTCCCAACAGTCCTGGGGTGGATCATTCTTTCACAGGGGCTGGGAATCAGAGGCGTTAAGGAATTGAATGGGTCACATACTAGTAACTGTGGCTCTGTACCCAGAAGCTGGCCTCTTGGCACTTTTGCCCCCAAGCTGGCAAACTGACCTGCTTGGGGTAGAAGCCAGATCGCCTATGTGGACATCAGAGCCCATCTGGGTTCAGAAAAGTGAAAGTGAAAGTCGCTTAGTCGTGTCCGACTCTTTGCGACCCCATGGACTGTATAGTTCATGGAATCTCCAGGCCAGAATACTGGAGTGGGTAGCCTTTCCCTTTTCCAGGGGATCCTCCCAACCCAGGGATCAAACCCTGGTCTCTCGCATTGCGGGTGGATTCTTTACTAACTGAGCCACAAGGGAAGCCCAAGAATACCGGAGTGGGTAGCCTCTCCCTTCTCCAGGGGATCTTCCCGACCCAGGAATCAAACCGGGGTCTCCTGCATTGCAGACAGATTCTTTACCAACTGAGCTGAGGGTTCAGAAGGCTCCTGCTACTCCTCACACACAGGAGTGTGTTTGTCCTCGTGAGACCAGAGCAGGCCCACCAAAGTCCTGACTGATAAAGCTAGGTATCCGGGATCCCTCTCTGCCCCCACTTCACCTGCAGCCACCCCACCGTCCTTTTTACTGACCTCATGGGCAGCCTTTGGAAAGTTGACTAGACACACTACTTGTCTATTCAGTTTCCTATTGGACACCCAGGATGGTCCCTGTGGCCATGACTGCAGGCTCAGTCCCAGTGATAGAATTGGCCCCTCTCCTTAGGCTCTGCTGTCCCATCCAGGTCATGGCCCTCCGTGATTGGAAATGACCACTGGCCAGGAATTCCCTGCAGCCCAGTAGTTAGGACTCTGCACTTCCACTGCTTCCCTGGTGGCTGGACCTGCCTGCACAGCGGGAGACCTGGGTTCGATCCCTGAGTCAGGAAGATCCCCTGGAGAAGGGAATGGCAACCCACTCCAGCATTCTTGCCTGGAGAATTCCACGGATAGAGGAAACTGGTGGGCTACAGTCCATGGGGTCACAAAGAGTCAGACACGACAGAGCAACTTTCACTTTCGCTACAAGGGGCATGGGTTAGACCCCTGATCGGGGAGCTGAGATCCCACATGCCATTACACATGGTGTGGCCACCAAAAAAATAAAAGGTGAAGAAAATGACCATGGGTCACTGGAGCCCTGGGCTATCACTGGACAGAGGAGAGTCATGCTACAGCCCCTACACCTTAGCCTTGGCCCTTGTTCAGTCACTAAGTCGTGTATGACTGTGTGCAACCCCACAGACTGCAGCAGGACAGGCCTCCCTGTCCCTCACCATATCCTAGTTTGCCCAAGTTCGTGTCCATTGAATCGGTGACACCATCCGTGTCATTCCCTTCTCCTCCTGCCTTCAGTCTTTCCCAGCATCAGGGTCTTTTCCAGTGAGTCAGCTGTTTGCATCAGGTGGCCAAAGTACTTGAGCTTCAGCATCAGCCCTTCTAGAGAAAATTCAGGGTTGATTTCCCTTAAAATTGACTGTTTTGATCTTGCTTTCCAAGGGACCTCTCAGGGGTCATTTCCAGCACCAGAGTTTGAACGCATCAATCCTTCGGCTGCCTTTTTTATGGTCCCACTCTCACATCCATACATGACTACTGGAAAGAATGTGGCCTTGACTATATGGACCTTTGTCAGCAAAGTGATATCTTTGCTCCTTAATACACTGTCTAGGTTTGTCACAGCTTTCCTGCCAAGAAGCAATCTGAGAGCTTAGAAAACGGGCCTCTGGGGCCAAAGCTTTTTTTGAGCCCCATTATCCAAGCTGCCTTGGGAACCACTACTGGCATTCCCAGAAAAAGGGATTTGTAAGTTTGATAAACAAAGTCAAATACTGCATAGCTTAAGTCTTTAACAAGCTATTCTCAGATGCCAAAAGGACAGATACGCTGTGTCCCAGAAATTCAGGGGCCACCTGTGGCTCACAGGGCACACAGCACCCTGGGCAAGTGAACCCATTCTTGTTACCATAACCTCTATGGCACTCTGCACTGTGACCTGTACTTCCTGCCAAAGCGGGACAAGGGTCAGCTCTGGTAGCTGGAATGGGGCAAAAGGGAACAGCTCTCCAGCCCTAGCATGGCCTTGGTGGCTCATTCTGAAAAGCCCTAAAATCTGCAAGGGTCCAAGTCAAAGACACACAACAGGTTCCTTTGGGCATCCCCCTGCCTTCCCAGCCAGATCCCCACCACACAAACAGCCCTTCTGGGGCCTAGGCGGTACCCCTAGCCTTTGCTGCTCTCTGCCTCTGGGAAGTAGTGTGGAGTTTTAGAAACACTTGTCCCAGGACTAGAGGACAGACCCAGTGCAGTGGGAAATTGTCTGAGAGATGAAAATGGAATCAAGTCAGGCTGGTCTTAAATGCTGCTGAGTCATGGGCCCCTTGGAGAATCTGACATATGCTTGATGCCTGTAACCCCTTTTGTTCAAAATCATACACAGACTAAAAGCCTCGTCTGAATCCTCTAAGTAATGAGAAACTGAACCCAGGGATGGGCAAGGACTTGCTCCAGATCACATGGCAGAACCCGGGTGCGTAGTCAAGCCCCCAGGCCCCAGCAGCAGTCCTAAGAGGCCTGAACCCCAGAGAAAGGACAGAGGAAAAAAGGACACAAGTGGAATTGGGTTAATGGTTTTAATGTGTAACAGCAGGCCAGCTGGGGAGGACAATACCCCCCAAGGCCCCAGCCCTTCTGCCATGATGGCCTGGGACCTGTGTGCCGGCCAGCCCCGTGCCTGCCCTGGCCCTGCAGCCCACCAGTCCCGGGGAGGGTGGGAGAGGAAAGTGGGAAGCCGGGAGCTCAGCCTGGAGAGTTCAGGGGAGCAAACACAGGGGCTAGTTGAATCTGGCCTTGGAAAAGTCCATCTCTGGATGCTGATCCATGAATCTGAGGAGACAAAGCAGGAAGGTGAGACAGGCCATCTGTTTCCTCCAAATTTGCCCCTTTCTCTCAGCCTCCAACATGAGGTCTAATCTGGTTAGAACTCTCAGCTACCTGGAGCCACGCCAGGCAGGAATAGGGCCCCCAAGGTCTCCCTCTGATGCCCATCTGAGCCCGAGGCTGGATGCTGAGGTGCCAACACTGGCACTGCTTTTTCTGTTGGTGACGGTGACCGCCTGTTACCCTTTCCTACCCCGAGGTAGGCTTGCCCTCAAGATGACCTCAGTAAGTGATTAGGGGAGGCAAGCCAAGGCTATAAAGCCATAAACTTGGCTGGCTCATCCTGGAAGGGGCGGGGCAGCTCCTGTGTTCTGCTCAGTAAACACTTGCTGCTGTCACCCAGGTCCCAGCCGCAGACACCTCCCCCAAACCCCCATCTCTGCATCGCTCACTTCTTCAGAATCTCCTGTTTCTTCTGCTCATCCGAGGTAGGCAGCCCCATGGACTTCTGTCTCTGGTCATACATCATCTTCTCCACCATGCTACGGGTCTCACTGTCCAGGTCTGACAGCTGGGGGGCAGACAGTGACAGGGTGGGTGACGCCCTGGGGCCACCCAGGCCCCAGACCTCCAACCGCAGCTCCTCCAACCAGCCTGGGCTCACCTTGGAGTTCTCGGGGTTTATCTTCTTAGTATTGATCTCAGGGTCACTGGATACCAAGCGGCTCCACCACTCCATCTTGTTGATCTGAGAGGAAGAGGAGGGCCACCCAGGGATGGGTGGTGGCTCACTCTGGACCCTGGTGCCCACCCCCCAGCTCTTCCAGAACCAAATCTCTCCCAGCCACATCCTGTGTCAGGGACTTGCGAGGCCTGAACTGGGACCGAGGGGCAAATGGGCGAGACCTCTGCCCTCCCCGGTGGCTGGGGGAGACAGACATGGAGATAGCCAGCATGATAAGAGAAAGAATAAAGTACAGAGGGAGACACTCATCCAGGGTAGAGGGAGAGGTTAGGACACACACGTGGGCTGGGCCTTAAATGACACGCGTGAACCACGTTAGAAGAGCAGGGAAGGACATTCCAGGTGGGAGGAAATGCAAGGGCAAGGGCACAGGCGGGTGAGTGAGAGGCAGCCAAGGCGGGTCAGGTAGGCTGGGCCAGGCAGTACGTGCCATGGGACCCTTTCCTCGGACCCTGGCACTTCACAGAGACCACGTTCAGGTACCGGGGTCTGTGTCCCCGGTCTCTGAGAGGGGGAGCATGCGGGCTTCCCGAGGAGCATAGTTTTCTACATCTTGTTCACTGTTCTCCCTCCAGCACTTAGAACAGTCTCTGGTACACAGTAAGTGTTCAAGTATTTGTTGAATTGAATGCTTGTATACAAACCTAATGGAGGGACTTCCCTGGTGGGTCCAGTGGGTAAGACTCTGAGCTCCCTGCAGGGGGCCCAGGTTCGATCCCTGGTCAAGGAACTAGACCCCATGTGCTGCAACTAAAGGTCCCACATGTCACAAGGAAGATCCCGCACATGGCAACTAAGACCCAAAATAAAATTCAGACCCAAAATAAAAACTAGAAAAAAACCTAATGGACCTGGAGAAGGAAACGGCAACCCACTCCCATATTCTTGCCTGGAAAGTCCATTGACAGAGGAGCCTGGCGGGCTGCAGTCCATGGGCTTACATGACTGAGCATGCATGCATGAGGGTGGAGAGAGATGGGTTGGTAGCAATAAACTGGTAGAATAACAACAACAAAAACCTAATGGAAAGGAAAAGGCTTTGGTACTAAAGACAATCCTGATCCGTAACTCCACCCTCTCCTAGAGGCAAGAGTTGGGGCAGATCTCTTGAGCTGCCCTTTTTCTGACTCTAAAGTGTGATAAACATACTATAAAAGTCTTATTGTGGAGATGAAATAACATATGCCCATCAGGCCCCCAGCAGGGCCCCCAAGTTCAGAACACAGGCCAGGAGGCGGGCCTTTCGTACCTTCTCCAGATGCACTGTCACCACCTTGCCGTCCTCGATGAGCCAGGAGCTCTCCTCGACCTTCACCTCGTTGTAGAGCTCCCCGTCCACGATCGCTGGCTGTCCCTTGAGCCCCACCCGGAGATGCCTCCGCTGGATGTCCACCACCACGTCCTTCCCCTTCAGCCGGAAGTTCACGCAGAAGGGCACAGCCAGCTGCACGGGGCAGGAGCAGTCAGGCAGGGCCCCAGGCCGGCTCCCACCCTGCCGCCCCAGCCCCCGCACTCACGTCCAGCTCCGACAGGGTCTGGGTCCAGCGGTAACTGGGCAGGTCCGCCCCGTTGCCAAGGTTGGGCTTCAGTTTCCCTTTGTCCTTCTCGTCCTCCTCCTCCTCCTCCTCCTCGGCCTCCTGCTCACAATTGGGGTGCTCAGCTACTTCCCTGACAGACCTAGACTGAACCCCACTGGCCGGCATTGTGCATACAGACACAGACAATACAGAAGACCTGGTCCCTGCCCAGTCCATGGCCCACTGGGAGTCAAGAGGTAAAACCTGTTTGGCTCTCTGCTAGGTCTGCCTGAGAGAAGCTCAGATGGGGAGACCCTGGGACAGCTGGGGGGGTAGTGGTGGTCAGACACGGACCCCGGGGACCCAGCCACGGGACTTGGGAAGGAAGCCCAGCCCAGAGCAGGTCAGGAGGTGGCCGCCAGCAGAGTTGTTCTAAAGGAAAACCAGTCTGCCAATGGTCAGCTTCCTTCTTCTCTGTCTGGAGGGCGGGGACCCAGCCTCAGACCAGAACCTCTGAAGAGCTGAGTGAGTGCCCCAAGGATTATGTGGGAGCAGGAGGAGCCCCGAGGAGAACACGCCACAGGCGTGTCAGAGAAACCCACCCACCCGAGCCCGCCCACACGGTGTCCATGCAGCACCGCCCATCTCTGGCTCTCCAGCTTTCCTGCCAAGGCTTAAATTAAGCCAGTGAGCTTTGGGGTTTTTTTTTTAACCCACTTTGGTCCAATGTGGGATCCTGGAGTATGGGGAGGATTCCCAAAGCTAAGGGAACGGTGGGGTGGGCCTTTCAGAGAAAGGGAGTGGGTGAAGAGCCCTGGAAGTTCCCAAACCCTTCCAGTCCATCTCACCTGCTTCCCTGGTGAGCCAAGACTGCCATTCTTGAGCTGGGCCTCCTGATTCTCGGCATCCTTTTTCTGTGGCAAACGGGAAAACAGCTGGCAAGAGGGGCCCCACTTCTAGTGTCCATGGGGATCAGGAGACAAGGGAGGGAAGCCCACTCCTACCTGGTCAATTTCCAGCTGTAGCCTCTCGGCCTCCTCATCGGTCAGCTCCTTGATCTGGGGCCCGGAGGTCTCTGACTTGGCCTCCTTGGCCAACCTGGCTGCGCGCTCCGCCTTCTCCCGCCGCTCAGTCTCCTGCCGAGCTCGCTTCTCCCGCCGGGCCTTCTGTGCCAGCTGGTTGTGGTGGTTGAAGGTCTGTGTGATAAGCTGAGGAAGGAAGAGAAGGCTAAGAGGCATCGGGGGAGAAGACACATCCCAAGACATGAAGCCAGTCCCATCTCTGAGTGCCTGGGCATTGCACTTAGAACCTCAGTTTCAACATCTTTAAAATGGGATTTAATACACATCTGTCTCATTGAGTTGTAATGAGAATACCTGCAAAGTATCTGCTTCAATAAATAGCAACCACTTAAAAAAAGGCAGTCCAGGGACTAAGACCCAACACTGCAGTTGGACAACCTGCATTCTAATCCAGGCTCTGTCACACACTAGCTGTTGTATTTTTGGCAAATTACTTAACCTATTAATGGTATTAGTGGGCTTCCCTGGTGGCTCAGTGGTTAAACAATCTGCCTGTCAACGCAGGAGATGCAGGTTCGATCCCTGGGTCGGGAAGACCCCCGGAGAGCTTCAGAGTCCTTATCAGCAAGGAGTCCCTAGCTAACAGCAATGTCAGGCAGACCAAACGTCCTTCACAGCAGAGTGAGGCTGTCGGGGAAGGCCAGCCTCAGCCCCTCTGAGAAGCTGCTCCTCGGCTCTCAGGCCAAAAAGAGCTTTCTGGAGGGAAAAGGCCAGCGTCTTCCTCTCCTCGGCCTGTGAGCTACCCATTTCAAATCTGTCCTCTCCCGTGACATCTTCCTAGGATGCTTCTAAACCGCATCGTGCTAGCTGCCCCCTCTGCGGCCCAAGAGCGACCCCAATACTGTCACCACCTGGTCTGGCTCTGTGGCCTTGGACAAGGAAACAACTTTGACCTTCCTAAGCCTCAGTTTCATCAGCTGTCATGAAGACTGTATATGACACTTGTCAAGAGACTGGCACAGTCCCAGCCACAAACCAACTGCATATGAACTGCTGGCATCCGAACACCCCCTGCCTGGCTGAGATTAACCCAGGGTCAGCTGGTGGAGAAGCACCTTCTCTGCTATGAAGATAACAACAGGAGGAATGGTTACACCTCATGTTTTACATTAGAAGCTCCTGAAGTGTGGTTCCCCTGATCCATAGAATATATTAGCATCACCCAGAATTAAATGCTGAATCTCAGGCCCTACTCCAGGCCTACTGAATCAGAAATTCTAGGGGTATGGCCCAGCAATTTGTACTTTTAACAAGCCCTCCTGGCCAATTCTCATGCATACTTGAGTCACATCTACATCTGTGATCCTGGCCTACTCCTTCTATCTGTGTGACCCTGAGGTCATCTCTCTGTGCTTCTATCATATTATTTCTAAAAGCAGTCTTACATAGCTGTTCTTTGCCTAGAATATCCTTGCCTCTCCTCTCAGGTCACCTCGCCAACAGCTTCTTATCCTCCAGGACCAGCTCAAGTGTCTGTTGAATTTCACCTCTTCACCTTTGGAAGACTCAGGAATTTACCCAACTTAGGAAACCCAACTCTGTGTCAACCCACACACCTGGAAGGCGGCCTCGCAGGACGCCCACCACATGATCAGTGGTCAACAAACCATCTTTCAAGAATCTCTGAGCCAGAGCTAGAGGGAAATGGATCTGCAAGAGTTGAGGGGAACCACGTGGGGCTCAGGGTCACCAAAGTCAGCCACGGGCTCCTAGGCCTAGGGTTCTGCCAAATGCCCTGTGGCTTCTCATTCATTGGGTGCCAGTTCTTCCTGTTACCCTCAAACCTCTAACTTCATCCCACATTACAGTAGCTCCACATTCTTCGAGGTTAAAGGGTACCAAAAGCACCCCGAAACCAAATGGGTTAACAAAATGAGGTGTGTGTAAGAAATAAATGAGCCACCTGAAGGCCACTGTGCTGTCAACAGAAGGGGTTGGTCATGGCCCAATTACGCCAGCAGAGGCTGTTCCACCCTAATCAGGGAGACCTTGAACTCAGGCCATCTGCTAACCAGTGGCCAAGGGGAGGCAGGAGTGGGGCCGTCCCCCCTCCCAGCTCCAGTGAATCACGTCCCATTCGTCCTGCTCCTTCCCAGCTCCTGGAGGGCAGATGAGGGCAGAGCTGAACCACCAGGCAGAGTCAAGGCCAATCACAGCAGCCTCTGACCCCTCCTCTCGGTCTCCTCCCACCGCTTTACCTGGGCCTGGGCCCAGGGAGAGACCCCCGCGAGACTGTAGCCTACTCAGGGTGCCAACTGGCAGGCTGTCAGAGTCAAGCTTCTGTCGCTGGACATGTCTTTGGGAACCAGAGCCCAGCAGAGTGAGGAAGGGGTGAGGAGGGCCGGGCCAGTTCAAGGCCCCAGAGTGCTCAGTGGGCATACCTGAACACAGCTTTCCCTGACCTAGCCTGGGTGACAGGAGAGTAAATAATGGGTCCCCCCAGACTGGCCAAGGAAGGCTCCTGAGAGATATTTAAGCTCAACCCAAAGGCATGATGTCCTGGACCTGATCATGGAGTGGGGGGGACACGTATGAGGGAGAAGACACACTCCTGTTCTAAGACTTCACGTAAATGGCCTAATTCAGTATGTGCTCTTGTCTGTCTTCCTTTAGAAGGGTGAATAATGTGTATGTACGTGTGTGCTCAGTCATGCCCGACTCTGCAACTCTATAGACTGTAGCCTGCCAGGCTCCTCTGTCCATGGAATTTTCCAGGCAAGAACACTGGAGTGGGTTGCCGCTTCCTCCTCCAGGGGATCTTCCTGACCCAGGGATTGAACCTGCATCTCCTGTGCCTCCTGCATTGCAGGCAGATTCTCTACCTGCTGAGCCATCAGGGAAGCCTGAATAATATTATATTACATGGATATATGACATTTTGTTAATTCATCTATCAATGAATGCTTGGATTGCTTCCAGTTTTTGGCTCTTATGAACAGTGCTGCTATGGGTGTGCAAATCTCTCTTCAAGATCCTGCTTCCAGGGCTTCCCTGGTGGCTCAGTGATAAAGAACCACCTGCCAATGCAAGAAATACAGGTTCAATCCCTAATCCAAGAAGACCCCACATGCCGCAGAGCGACTAAGCCCGTGCAGCACAACCACCGAGCCTGGGCGCTAGCGCCCGGGAGCCGCAGTCCCTGAGCCCGTGGCCTGCAGCTGCTGGAGCCCACTCGTTGTGGGGACCACGCTCCACAGCAAGAGAAGCCACCGCCGTGAGAAGCCCGTGCATCTCGACAAGAGGGCAGCCCCCACTCGCCGAAACCAGACAAAGTCCATGCAGTAATTAAGACCCAGCACAGCCAAAAATTAAAAAAAAAAAAAAGTCCTGCTTCCAATCTCAGGGGGTAAATGGGAATGCTGATCACCTGGTAGTTCTATTTTTAAATTTTCTGAGGCACCACCATACTGTTTTCCACAGCAGCTGCACCATTTTAAATTCCCACTGATAGTACACAAGAGTCCCAATTTCTCCACAACCTTATCTAACACTTAAGTGTTTTCGGGAGGTTCTGACAGAATCCATCCTAGTGAGTGTGAGGGGACAACATCTCACTGTGGTTTTTATTTGCCTTTCTCTAATGACTAGTGATATTGAGCATCTTTTATAATAAGAAAAGAACTATAATTCACTTATACCAACAATGTCTGAAGAGTACCCTTTTTTTCCACATCCCTGTAAGCAATTAAAAAAATATTTTTGTCAGTTTGACCAGAAAAAAAAGGCATCTCACTGTTTAGTTCACCTACATTTCCTTGATTACTACTGAATGTAAACATCTTTTCATATGCTCCTCATGGAATGGCCCATTTTGCCATTTATCCTTTTCTTGTCAACTTACAAGAGTTCCTGCAAATTAAATTGTCTCCTAAATTTTATCTGTCCTTTGCATTGCACATTTTTCCCAGATCTACCGTTTTTCAAATGACTATATGTCATTGCATCTCTTCTGCCACAGTTTCTATATCTGAAGAAAAAAATAGCTCTTTTATTCTATAGCTTCCAGGTTTCTATCCTTGCTAGGTCTCTTCCACACAAGGTTATACATAGTTTCCTAGCTTTCCTTACTAAACTCTTCTTGATCTGCAATTTATTTTTAGATGAGTACAACAAGCTTCCCAAGTGGCACTAGTTGGCAATTCAGGAGACATAAGACACACAGGTTTGATCCCTGAGCCAGGAAGATCCCTTGGAGGAGGGCATGGCAACCCACTCCAGTATTCGTGCCTGGAGAATCCCATGGACAGAGGAGCCTGGCAGGATACAGTCCATACCGTTGCAAAGACCCAACTGAAGCGACTTAGCAAGCATGCACATATGAACAAAACAGATCGTTTTACACTTTTGGTGCTTTTACAAATAGCCAGTTGTAGCAGCACGACTTATTAAATCATCCTTTGCCTATGAACTGAATTACCTTACTGGACACATCTTAAAGTTAGACTTTTTCTGGGTTCTCTGTTTCACTAGTCTATTTGTCTCTTCCTATGTCAATAACATACTGATTTGATCATTATGGCCTTTATGCAAATCCATAATGCCTAGCTTCAAAAGCTATAAAAACTAAAGTGTTTTTGTGTTTCTATAAGTTTGAAGCATGAAGGTATTTGCAGTTTTCATATCTTGGCATAAATATTGATATATACTTCTCTGCAGAAATATCAGTTTCATTACATTATGCTGCTCCTGACCCCTGGACTGGAGTAAAGTATATTATATACAGTATATGCACTATGAAAGTGTTAGTCGCTCAATTGTGTATGACTCTTTGCAATCCCATGGACTGTAATTCGCCAGGTTCCTCTGTCCACGGAATTCTCCAGGCAAGAATACTGGAGGTAGTGGGTAGCGATTCCCTTCTCTGAGGGAGGATCCAACCCGGAGTCTCCTGCATGGTAAGCAGATTCTTTAGCATCTGAGCCACCAGGAAAGCCCAAGAATTCAAGTTCACAGTCCCTTTTTTGAACCTATTGGGGCCAGATGTGTTTTGGGATTTAGAATTCTTTTGGATTTTAGGAGGCAATACAGTGCATATTTAACCCTAAAATCCAAAGAACTCTAAATTCCAAAATACACCTGGCCCCAAGAGGTTTAAAAAAGGAACTGGGAACTTGTACTCTCATGTGCCAGCAACACTCTTTTTATCCTCACTTGCACTCTCATGTGCCAGCAACACTCTTTTTATCCTCAGAAGAGCCTTGAGAGAGAAAGACTATCCCCTCTTCTGGGGGTGGCAGGGGGGAATGAGGCTCAGAATGTGATTCATCCAATGCCACAGTTGTCACGCAGGGAGACGGGCACACAGGATTCAGCCACATCTGCCTGGCTCCAGAGAACATGCTCTCAACCGGAACACTTGGAAAGGACTTATCTGGTAGCCCGGTGCACAGCAGGTCCTCAACACAAAGGAATTACTGGTGTTACAACTGGAGACCAGTTGGGAAGGCTGGACAGGTTTCTGCCTGCCTGAGAGTCCAACCAACCTCCTGAGAAAGAGCTGACTCTAAGGGAACAAGGAGGCAAGGAGCATAACAGAGGAACCAGCAGACGTCCAACAGAACAGCTACCATCATCCTTGTGATACGCCCAAGACACCACTTCTCAATACTGTTCATCTCTCTCCCTTCTGCCTGCTACCTCGCTCTCCCTTCATGCCTCAGGCACCTCTTCCTCAGTGTCTTCCTGGAGCCCCCAACCTAGGTCAGTCACCATCTTATGCTCCTGGGACTGCTACCTGAACACCCACCACTCCCTCACTGTCTTTCTTTTTGGTGGGGGAAGTAGGGTTTAGTAAGGAGTCTACACTGTGAGATCCATGACAACAAAGACCAAGTCTGTATTCACCTCGGCTTTCCCGATGGCTCTGTCACAGCGGCTAACACAGGCAAAGTGTTAACTGTTCAATACATGTTAATTAAATGAATGAACGCTGATATTTTATGGTGAAGTCTGGCCCACAGAGAAACAGGAGGTGCTAGTGCTAATACAGAAAGCATACTTGAGCCAGAAAGAGTCCTAAAGGTCAGTGAGTCCACCTTCTTCTGCTTGACATGTGTGAAGATTAAAAGGACCAGAGAATTGGTGGGAAATCAACCAGGCCACACAGCTAGACCAAGAACCCAGGACTCCTGCTCCAGGACCACGTCCGTACTACAGAGTAGCCTCAGGTCAAGGCATCTTATCAAGCATTTCAGCTTGTTAGAACCCTGAGGCCACAGAAAGCAGTGTGTAAAATGTCTCCTTTCGGTTATTATGTCTCCTGTTTAACTGAAAACAACTGTCAGTTTTCAAAGTTCAGTGAAATGACATCTTCTTCATTATTTAAGAATCTTCAAAAATATAATTACAACCTAGAGAATCAGAAGACATTCAAACTCTCAGAACCTGTACCATAAAGCACAATCCTCAGGAATCACCTAACAGCAGTCAGAATGGCTATCATCAAAAAGTCTACAAATAATAAATGCTGGAGAGGATGTGGAGAAAAGGGAACCCTCCTACACTGTTGGTGCAAACATAAATTGGTGCAGCCACCATGGAGAACAGTATGGAGATTCCTTAAAAAACTAAAAATAGAGCTACCATATGATCCAGCCATCCCAATCCTGGGCATATATGCAGAAAAGACGAAAATTCTAATTTGAAAAGATACATGCACTCCAATGTTCACAAGAGCACTACTTACAATAGCTAAGACATGAAAGCAATCTAAATGTCCAATGACAGATGAATGCATAAAGAAGATCTGGTGTATACACACACACACACACACAGGAATATTACTCAGCCATTTCGAAATATGAAATAATACCATTTGCAACAACATGGATGAACCTGGAGATTATCATACTAAGTACAGTAAGTCAGAGAAAGACAAATATCATATGCTATCACTTATATGTGGAATCTAAAAAAAATTATACAAGTGAACTTATTTACAATACAGAACAAGATTCACAAACATAGAAAATAAACTTATGGTTACCAAGGTGGGGGGGTAAATTGGGAATTTGGGATTAACAGATACACACTACTATATACAAAATACAAAAAAAAAAAAAAAAAAACCAAGGACATACTATATAGCACAGGGAACTATATTCAATTTCTATAATAACCTATAATGGAAAAGAACCTAGAAAAGATACATACATATATACATATATATAGGAGATAGACAATTAAAAAAAACACCACCACCACTATTTTCAAATCCCTGAACGTTGGGTCACAGAATCTGAGAAGACTGGGATTGGCTGGCCCTGAGTTTTCCTATCTGTCTTCTAAGCTCCATCTCTAACACTGGTCTACTCTCACCTCCCAGTGAGGCAATCAGAGAGAACACGGGCTTCCGTGGGGGCTCACACAGTGAAGAGTCTGCCTGCCATGCAGGAGACCCAGGTTCGATCCCTGGGTCGGGAAGATCCCCTGGAGAAGGGAATGGCTACCCACTCCAGTATGCTCGCCTGGAGAATTTCATGGACAGAGAGAGGAGCCTGGAGGGCTACAGTCCATGGGGTCACAAAGAGTTGGACACAACTGAGAGACTAATGCTTTCACTTTCCTCAATGGAGAAAAGGAACCAAGAAGCGTTGCATAAGGCGCAGAAAGCAGTTTTAGGAGAGACTCTGGTTCCAACCTTGGCTCTCCCATAACTCAGTTCAAGAATTTGGACAACACTGGCTTTCCTGTAACTCACACCGATTTCCTCATTTATAAATGGGGACAGTAACACCTGCCCCTCAAACAGTTAAAGGACCATGGGGAATAGGGTAGGTAATGCAGTTGGCGAGGTGAGGGGCTTTAATAAACGACGGCTTGCTTCCCTTCCCCAACTCTTTGCCCTTGGCTAAAATCTGACTTCTGCTAACAGTTATTAGTATGCCAAAGAAGGCCAGATAAGCTCTTCTGGAGAAACGGAGCTGCCCAAAGGACACTGGCCCCCAACACTCACCTTTTCTGCCATGCCTTCTTCTCCTCCAACAAAGAAGTCTGTTTTGCGTCGAAGGAAGCTGAAGAAGGTGTTCACCAGCTGAAAGGAAACAAAAACAGAGATGGAGAGACGCCATACTGGGGGCCCCTCAGCTGCACGGACGCCAACTCTCTCAGCCTAGGAGGGAGCCTGGGACTAGACTGTCTCGCCCCCAGCCTCTCAACTGAGGAAACATCCTCCCCACAGGCCTGGGCTTTGTCACGTCTGCCAGGAAGCCTGAACTAACTCTACCCGGATCCCTTGAAAGGCAGATTTCTCGTTTCTTTTTAGTTTATTTTTGGCTGCACAGGCTCTTTGCTGTGACACGCGGGCCTTCTTCTAGTTGTGGTGAGCGGGCGCTGCTCTTTATGTGGCACACAGGCTTCTCACTGCAGTGGCTTCTCTTGGTCAGCATGGACTCTAGGTGTGGACTCAGCAGTTGTCGGCACACAGGCTCAGCTGCTCCGCGACATGTGAGGCCTTCCCAGACAAGGGATCGAACCCATGTCCTCTGCATTGGCAGGCTGATTCTTAACCACTGGACCACCAGGAAGTCCCAGTCTCATTTTCTTGTGTGCACGTGTATTGTATTTCACATTTTTTGTGGTGCTAGAGGCAGTCTGAGGGTACGGGCATCTATGGCTTGAAACACCTGGGGCCCACCTTTCCACTTCACATAGTAAAAAACCCATCCAGAGTGGCACTGGCTGAGTTACAAGGGCAGAGCTAGAAGGAAGGGAACAAATGAAGCCATTTGAAAGAAAGTTCAGACCAAATAATTCTGGCTGGGTGGCCAAGTGGTTTAAGAACATCAGTTTGGGTATCAAGACTGATATACATGAGCTCTGTGTCCTTAGGAAAGTTTCCTAACTCCATAAAAGAGAAACAGCAGCAGGACCTATTTCCAGGGATATACCTGAGGATCCTTTTTGAGAACCAAAGGAAGCAAAGGAGCTGAGGTCCCGAGCAGTGTCTGGCCCAGAGCAAGAGACCCTCTGCAGGAGAATGAAGTCCTCATAAGCAGGCACTATGAACCATGACTGTCACATCCTCAGTGCCCAGCACCAGACCTGACTCAAGAGTACATGCTCAATAAACATTCTGATGAATGAAACGATCTAGTGGTGACCTAAGGTTAGCATCTATAACTAAGCCCTTTTATTTGCCCAAGAAATCCGATGCTAGATTTTATCTCAGTGGTTTCAATTCCTGCTCCTACATATTTTTTTCAGTTCACTCAAAAATGAACACATTCCAAATCCAGTTGTGTCAACAATTTAGGGGGGGTGGGTTGGGGAGAGGGAGACTTTCACATCCTCAAATAGTACTCTTCCAACCTCAAAGGGCTTAGGAGTCCTTGGTCACCACAGGTACCTACCTGAATGAGAGAATGGGAATGGAAAGCTCGAAACTTTTGTCCCCAGAGAGACACAGAACCTAAAATGGTCTGTGGAAAGCACACACTGGCCTAACGATGCTGGTCCCCTCCAGGTCAGGAGCCTGTTGGATGATCTTGGGCAAGTTCCTTCTGTGTCTTTTTAATAAAAAGACTGATCTTGACTGGCTTTTCTACCTTTTGAACTTTTCCATGGTTCAAAACACCAATTCCAGAACCTCTTCTAAGTTGGTCCTTATCCTTCATCCACTCTGTGTTACTGGGTCTGGTCACTACGCAGGAATTATGTTCCTGCACACATCAATCACTCGAACAAATATGTGTTGACTGTTCAAGCCTGGTTACTGAGAATTCCTCACTGTCCCTCCCCTCCCTTCAAGACACTACTCTCCGAAAAATTCAGGAAATATAAGGATTCGTAGCTGAATCTCAAATAAAAGAAACTGAGGCTGGGAGACGTGGAAGGGTCCCAAGTTGGTAGGTGCGGTGTAGAACAATCGTGAACACAGGCCTCCTGTTCCCCCATTCAAAGACCACGTGTTAATATCGCCTCCCACTCTCACATTCTTTCGCTCGCTCCAAGTCTCCGTGCAGGCAAGTCGCAATGTTTAGAAAGGTTCATCCCAAGGGATACTCTTCGGCGGCGGTCACCAACGGAGAAACGGAGCCGAAAGCATGGGGGAGGGGAGGAAATCCCAAAACTCTGGGGTTTTTCCGGGGGCGGGTGCAGCGACACCGGAGGTGCAAAGGCAGAAACTACTGAGAGGTCTCGGGGTGGGCGGGGGCGGGGGGGGGGGTGAACCAGGCCTGGTACGAGTAAAAGACTTGGTACTAGCAGGCCAGACCGGAAGCTCGAGTGCAGTTAAGAATGTGGAGGGGAATCCCAGAGCCCGCGAGGCCCAGGGGTGTATCTCGGCTTGTCGAAGGCAGAGAAGGATGGAGAGAGCGTGGCTGAGGCCTTCCCCCGAGTAGGCTGGGCCCAGCCAACGCCGCGCGGGCCGTTACCTCCTGCACGCCACCCTCGTGCTGCTGCGCCATGGCCAGCAACATGCCGTCGAACCGATCCTCCTCCTGCTCCCCGCCCATCGTGCCAGCTGCTAGCCACGCTCCGAAATCCGAGCTCCGCACTCGCGTCCCGCGCTCGCCGACCCTTCGGATCGCGTCCGGTCCAACGGCTGCAGTCCGCCTTCCGCTGCGGAGCCGGAAACACGCAGGCGCCGCACCGCCCAGGCCCGCCCGCTCACTCTCACGTCCCGCCCCGCTTCGAGCCTGCGACCATTGACCGCGCGGCAGATAGCCCGCTTTGCCGGCCATTGGTCGACGTGCTGAGCCAATCAAAGAGCGCGTTCGTGAAGCGGTGGGCGGAGCGGAAGGCCCCAGAGTTTGGTGTGAGTTGCTATGGTCACCAGACGCTTTTTGGAGCCTTCTAGAAAAGCTTGAGCACAAATATGGCATGGTTAGAATTGAAAAAAAAAGGCGCAGACTTTGTTCCTACGCCTTGGGCGTGACCTCCCAGTTTGTAGAAGGGTGAAGTGGGAAATGTTCTTAGTTATCTCCTCTAACCCTCCCATGGGTTAATTGAGGCCCAAAAAGGAGAATGGACTCGCCCAGAGAGCAGTCTACTCCGTCATCATCACATGCTCCCTATAAATGGTGCAGTCGTAGGGGCCCCGGACTTACACGGACTCTGCGCTTGGATAGTGCTCTTCTGCCGCAGTCTGAAATTTTTGCACGAGAGCCCACATTGTCGTTTTGCACTGGTCCCCGCAAATTATGTAATGAGTGATGTATTCAACCTCACTTCTGTTAATGTGCGAGACAGGTCCCAGTTATCGAAGGCCAACCACTTTACTTTTTCATTGAATTTCATCTTCTTAGTCTCTTCAGGGATTTCACTCTTGTTATTATTCTTTTCTGAATCTGCTGCACCACAATTTTCTTTCTTCTGGATTATCCCCTTCAATTTACATTTAACTCGACTTCTTTTTGTACTATTGTATGACCCCACTTTCTCTTCCTACTGCCCCAATTTTCAATTCTCTTTCACACCAAAACTTGAAAAGATTGCTATACGTGTTTCTCCACTTGATCACTCTCCATGTCTTCTTGATTTACTCTAGCCTCTTCTTTTTTATATATAATTTTATTTAATTTTGGCTGTGCCAGATCTCTGCTGAGTGGGCTTTTCTCTAGTTGTGGAGAGCAGGGGCTACTCTCTAGTGGCAGCGCATAGCTTCTCCTTGCAGAGCACAGACTCTAGGGCGTGTGGGCTTCAGTAGTTGCAGTTTCCCCACTCTGGAGTTGCAGTTGCCAGGTTCTAGCGCACAGGCTCAATAGTCACTGTACCCAGACTTAATTGTTCTCTGGCATGTGGGATCTTCTGGGACCAAGGATGAAACCCATGTCTTCTGCATTGGCAAGAGGATTCCTTACCACTGAGCCACCAGGGAAGCCCTAATTAGTCTTTTCTTAATACTCTGACAAAGGTTACAATGACCTACTTATTGCCAAAGCCAGTAGACCACTATTATCTTACTCAACTTCTCAGTTGCATTTGACACAGTTGACCCCTTCCACCTTCTGGAAGCAATTTTTTTTCCATAGGCTTCACTTTTATGTTGACACTCTAACTCCCAGTGTGACTATTTTTAGAGACAGGGCTATTTAAAGAGGTAATTAAGATGAAGGGAATTCATAAAGGTGGGGCCCTAATCCAATATGACTAGTGTCCTTACTGGAAGAGGAAGACACCACAGAGACTCCTAAGCAAGCCGAGGAAAGGCTGTATGAGGCAGCAAGCAGCAAGCCAAAGAGAGAAGCTTCAGGAGAAAGCAAACCTGCCAACACCTTGATCTTGGACTTCTACCCTTCAGAATTATGAGAAAATAAATTACTGTTGTTTAAGTCACTCAGTCTGTAATAGCTTATTATAGCATACCTAGAAAACTAATAGGGCTTCCATATACCACACATATCTGCTTTTTCTTCCCGCCTTACTAACACTCTTTCTCAGTGTCCTGACCTACCCACATTTATAAATGTTGGGGGCTCTGTCCATACCTTCTTTTCTTCTCTCTCTATACTTTCTCTGTAGGTGATCTCATGAGGCCTCTGGCCCATATCATTTTTGAGCTCCTGGACAACCCCACTTGGGTTTTTCATTTTTCCTTTATTGTTGTTGTTCAGTTGCTAAATCGGGTCTGACTCTTGCAACCCCATAGGCTGTAGACTGCCAGGCTCCTCCCTTCAGGGGATTTCCCAGGCAAGAATACTGGAGTGGGTTGCCATTTCCTTCTCCAGGGGATCTTCCTGACCCAGGGACTGAACCCAAGTCTCCTGCATTGCACTTGGGTTGATTAGCAGATATCTCAAAACTCACATGGCTGGTGATGGATGCTGGTGATGGTTGCATAACAATGTAAATGTACTTAATGCCACTGAACTGTACACTTAAAAATGACTAAATGGCAAATGTAATCTTATGTGTATTTTAACACAGTAAGAAATTTTATAGCTTTATGAGATAATTTGAAATCTGAACTCTTAATAGATACTCTATTATTATTTTCAAGAATTATTATTTTTAAAAACCAACATGGCCAACATTGATGCTCCCAAACACTCACAAATTAATTCTTCCCAAAGTCTTCCCCATTAAGCTAAATGGCCCCTTCAAGCACCGATTTACAAAAGCCCAAACTTACTCATCCACCAATTTGGACCAGTCAAAATTTGACCTCATCTAAAAAAAAAAAAAAATTGACCTCATCTAATCCATTAGTAAGTCCTGTTAGCTCTCCCTCCAAAATACATCCTGATTCTCTTTCTCACCTTGCTGTGTGAAGCAAGATGCTATTACTAGTCTAAACCAGCATCCTCTCTTGCTTGACATCTACCATATCCAACTTCCTCACTGGTCTCCTTACTTCCTTTTTTGTAGTCCATCCTGGTTTGGAACCAGTTTGGAACTATTTCAAATCCTAAAAAATGATGCTGTTAAAGTGCTTCACTCAGTATGCCAACAAATTTGGAAAACTCAGCATTGGCCACAGGACTGGAAAAGGTCAGTTTTCATTGCAATCCCAAAAAAGGGAAATGCCAAAGAATGTTCAAACTACTGCACAATTGCACTCATCTCACACACTAGCAAGGTAATGTTCAAAATTCTTCAAGCCAGACTTCAACAGTACATGAACCAAGAACTTCCACATGTTCAAGCTGGACTTAGAAAAGCCGGAGGAATCAGAAATCAAATTGCAAACATCCGTTGGATCATTGAAAAAGCAAGAGAGTTCCAGAAAAACATCTACTTCTGCTTCATTAACTATGCCAAAGCCTTTGACTGTGTGGATCACAACAAACTGAAAATTCTTAAGGAGATGGGAATAATAGACCACCTTACCTGTCTCCTGAGAAATCTCTATGCAGGTCAAGAAGCAACAGTTAGAACCAGACATGGAACAACAGACTGGTTCCAAATCAGGAAAGGAGTACATCAAGGCTGTATATTGCCACCTGCTTTTTTAACTTTTCATGCGAAATGCCAGGCTGGATGAAGCACAAGCTGGAATCAAGATTTCAGGAGAAATGTGAATAACTTCAGATACACAGATGACACCACCCTAATGGTAGAAAGCAAGGAAGAACTAAAGAGCCTCTTGATGAAAGTGAAAAAGGAGAGTGAAAAAGTTGGCTTAAAATTCAACATTCAAAAAAAAAACCTCAACATTCAGAAAACTAAGATCATGGCATCTGGTCTCATCACTTCATGGCAAATAGATGGGGGAAACGATGGAAACTAAGAGACTTTATTTTGGGGGATTCCAAAATCACTGCAGATGGTGACTGTAGCCATGAAATTAAAAGACGCTTGCTCTTTGGAAGGAAAGCTATGACCAACCTAGACAGCATATTAAGAAGCAGAGACATTACCTTGCTGACAAAGGTCCGTCTAGTCAAAGCTATGGCTTTTCCAGTGGTCATGTATGGATGTGAGAGTTGGACCATAAAGAAAGCTGAGAAAACTGAGTGCTGAAGAATTGACGCTTTTGAACTGTAGTGTTGGAGGCTCTTGAGAGTCCTTTGGATTGCAAGGAGATCAAACCAGTCAATCCTAAAGGAAATCAGGCCTGAGTGTTCATTGGAAGGACTGATGCTGAAGCTGAAACTCCAATACTTTGGCCACCTGATGCGAAGAACTGACTCATTTGAAAAGACCCGGATGCTGGGAAAGATTGAAGACAGGAGAAGGGGACGACAGAGGATAAGATGGTTGGATGGCATCACCAACTTGATGGACATGAGTTTGAGCAAGCTCCAGGAGTTGGTGATAGACAGGGAAGCCTGGCGTGCTGCAGTCCATGGGGTCGCAAAGAGTCACACATGACTGAGCAACTGACCTGAACCTCAACTGAGCAGACAGAGCAATTGCTCTTAAGGATAAGCCAGGTCTTGTTACTCTCTTGCTTAAAAGTAGCCCTTCATGGATCGCCATTGTATTCAGGATAAATCCAAGCTCCCAACGATGGCCTCTGAGAAGCAGCAACATCAGGGCCCTGCCTACCTCACCAACCTCATCTTGTCTCACACTCCCTTTCACACACCAGAGTCTCTCTTCACTGGCTGCTTTCACTTCTTCAAATGCCCTGTCCTAATTCCAAGGCCTTTGCCAGCAACTCCTTTTTACCTATCAGGTCTCAACCCAAATGCCACTTCCTCTGTGAAAACTTTGTGCTTAGTCACTCAATCGTGTCTGACACTTTGAGACCCCATGGACTGTAGCCTGCCAGGCTCCTCTGTCCATTGGGAATACTCCAAGCAAGAATACTGGAGTGAGTTGTCATGCCCTTCTCCAGAGAATCTTCCCAACCCAGGGATTGAACCCAGGTCTCCTGCATTGCAGGCAGATTCTTTACCATCTGAGCTACCAGGGAAGTGACCCTGATAGACAGATTGTCTCCATCTCCATGATTTTCACTGATCCTCTGTAATTACTTGCCACAGTTGAAATACAGAATTAAGAAATTTTGGTTCTATATCCATTCCCTCTCCCTGGAATACAAACTTCATGAAAGATAGAACCTGCC